ACAGTGAGTTTTAAAGACTAAATGTCTTCTGATGAAGGACTGATGTGTTTTATTAGAGAAAGTTTTGTGTTCATAAGTTCTTCTTCTCATCACAGAAACGCAAAACTTACAAACAAATCTACATTTTAATTTCAATCATAGTATTCAGATAATTAAGTCAGCCTGAAATCATTCACATCTTCTGCGTAGTCCTGGGCTGTTGTCTTCGCGTTCATTCCCACCAGTGCCACATCACGTTGTTGTTGCTCTGCTAACCTGCTCAGTCATCATCACTCCAAGTCTGTCATTCCATTAAATAGGACCGTTTTATTCTTTGGACTGACTTCCACTGATTCTCTGTTCACTTTGTGATGGTTTATTTGTCTTCATCCAGTGTCTGAGCTGAGGGTTGTTCTGTTGGGGAACAGCTGGTCTGGGAGGAGTTCTGTTGGGAACTTCATACTGGGAGAACCTGTGTTCAACACTGATGAAGAACCAAACAACTGTCTGAGAATAGGAGGACAACTGAAGGAGGGAAAAATATTTCTGATCAACACTCCAGATCTGCTGAATCCAAACATCTCTGAAGACAAACTAAGAGAACATGTAGAACTCTGTGTGAGACTCTCTGTTCCTGGACCTCATGTGTTCCTGCTGGTTCTACAGCCTGAAGACTTCACTGAGGAACACAGACTGAGGCTCTGCAGAGTCCTGGAACGATTCAGTGATCAATCATTTGATCATTCAATGGTTCTGATGTCAAAACCCAAACAGAAGAGTCCAGCTTCAAGGGATTTTAACATACACCAGGCACCCTTACAGGAGATGATCAGTATATGTGGATTCAGGTCACTGAAGCAGGAGGACCTTGAACTTCGAGAGTTACTGAAAAATTTTAAACAAATTGTAGAGAAGAACCATGGAAACCATGTGATGTGTCATCAACTGACCATAAAACACAAAGAAGAATCTGTTGGTAAGTGGAGGAAATGTTTTAATAATGATGTGAAAACTTGATGACAAATGTCTGATTCATTTTATTATGTCGCTGCTCTTGATGCTGTTTGTGTCTGTTGTGTCATGAAAAGCTCCATTTGTTCCTCAGATGTTTGTCTGAAAAGGACTCACAGCTAGAAGACAGAGTAGAACTT